CCTTCCTGAGAGCCGTTTGAGAACGGGCTGTGGGCTGAACCAGCTGGTTGTTAAATACCATCAGCCTTGGATGGCATCTGGGATGTTCCCTGAGCCCCTTGGGCTGAAGGTGAGGGGAGAGGGATCTTAGGGAAGTGGTCCCATCTCCCCAAAACCTTGGGGTGCATGTCAGTGGGATGGGGTAAAGACCCTGAAGTGATGGAGCACAGTCTGTGGAATTCAAAACTCCTCCCTCAGGAAGCTTCTGCTCTTGCAGCATCCTGAGTGCCTGAATTTGTGCTGCTTGTGGGCACCTTTGGCATCCCCGTGTTGGGTGGCACAGACCCTTCCAACTGCTTTCCTCAGCAGTGAGGATTCACTGTTTTCTCCAGCGTGGTGGTTTGGCAGGGAATAATCCTGGAAGGGACTTCTGGAGGGCATCTGGCCCTGCTCCCAACTCTGAGGTCAGACCAGGTCGCCGTGTTGTCAAATATGATTCTACCTTTTCCTGTATCAACTCCCCTGATACAGAACTCTCTGTCAGTTCTGGGGCAGGAAAATCTGCATCCATCATTAGCTGAGGTCAGTAAAGCTGAAAGGTGAATTCCAACTACACCTTGACAGTGGGCCACAGGGAAATCTCATCCTTTTTTTTTTTTTTTCCCCTCTTCTGTGCAAATATATTTATTTTGTGTGCCTTTATTTGCCTTTTTCTTGGGGGACAGCCCTTGTGGTGCCAAACCACTGTGTGTGTCTCCTTTTAACATCTGGGTTTGGGGTGCAATGGGATCATCTGTTTCCAGGCTGGCTGATTTTGTGTGATCCTGTGAATCTGTACTGACAGATTTCAGTGAGTTTTCAGCAGGAACAAGGAAGGAAACCTCCTTTATGGCCACGTGAGTATTTTCTGCTGGGAAAGAAATAAACTGCAGGGGATGATGGATGGATTGGTGGTGGGTTAAGGGTTTTTTGGGGGGGCTGGGTTTTGGTTTTACCCCTTGCTGGTGCTTTGGGGTGTTTTGTGCCTTCCTCTGCTCATAATTCTGGGAAGGTTTGGTTTTTTTTTAGTTACTGCTGTCTCCTGTTTTGAAGAGTGAACACCAAGAACGTCCCAGAGGCTCCTCTCTGATAAACACAAACCATCCTTAAACAACACTGGCATCCTTAATTTCTCAGGATGATGCATCAAGAATGTATTTTACTATTCTAAATTCAGGCCTGTTTGCTTAAATTTATTTTTAAAAAACAGGGAACACTTGAATTTCCAATGCCCCAAAATCAGTAGTGGAATTGAATCTTCTCCAGGAATCAGTTTCTGAACCGATTTCAGAATCACACTCTGGGTTTAGATGGGACATTATTTATTCCTGGGCTGTCACTTTATATTTTCCCAAGGGACTTATTGGAGTTTTTTTGGGATTTTCAAGTGTTCTCTACATTTACAGGCCATAACCAGGGACAGGGACCTTGATTGTGTCCATCCAGCAATACTTTACTGGTGTATTAGAAATACCTTAATGAAGAAAGAAGCTTCAGCATGGAAATTATAGGGATTTTTTTTTTTTCCCCTGAAGAACCTAGAATTTGGCTCACTTGAAAGAGCTGCTGATATTCTGTGTTTTTGGAGGCCAAATAAACCACAGGACCTCCCTTCAAGGTGGCTGGTGTGTTGTTTTTTAAGGTATAAATTCAGGGGAGGGGGGACTGTAATTTTCATTTTTCTGGTGGGTTCTGCTCTGACATTTCCTGTCTCAGAGGTTTGGGATTTTGGCTTGCAGGAGTTTGGGGGTGTTTATGGGTTTTTTTTGTTTTGTTTTTCTTTTTTTCCTTGTTTGGTTTGTGTTTTTAATTATTATTTTTATCGTTAAAAATATTTTTTTATTTTAAAAATAAAACCGGAAATAAAAATAAAGGAGAGTAAAAGTAACAATAAGAGAAAAGAAAACTAAAAATTAAAAAAAAAAAAATCCAGGCAGAAGCTGGAAAACTTTCCCTTCCTTGCCAGCACTTCCCCAGCTCTGCTGCCTTCTCTGGACACCCTCCAGCACCTCAATGTCTTTCTTGGAGTGAGGGACCCAAAACTGAACACACAATTCGAGGTGCAGCCTCCACACCCTTGGATGAGATTCAGGTCATGCATCCTCAGGGAGGATAAATAAGCCTGTACTGCTGACTGTTGTTTCTGCAGTCACTGGAGTTAATAGGCAAGAAATGCATTAAGATTAAAAAAAAAAAAAAAAAGAAAGAAAAGTTTAAAAAAAAATTAGAAGTTCTGGAAGAGAGGAGTGACCTAGAAAATCTAATTGTCCTCTGAACAGCAATTGCCCTAAGTTTGGAAGCTCTAGTTTGCTAATTAAGCTGAAACAGTAGATTTTAGTGGTGCTTAAAGTGCTAATTTCAACTGCTCTTTAAAGCATGAATCTCCAGCAAGTCTCTCAGCAACAACAACAAAAGGTTTTGCCCAGCAATGCCTCACTGAGGGTCTGCAGAGCATCTCAGCTCTTCCAGCAGCAACTTCCCAGATGGTCTCCAGGAGCTTCTCCTCCTTCCAGCTGCAACAGGGCAGATCATCCACATCACTGCATCTCTCTGGGACCAACAGCACTGACAGAGCGTGGGAGGGATTCCTGAAAAAGGGATCCAGTGTCCTGTAGGAAAATAACACAGGGCCGGCATCAGCTGGGTCAGTGTATGTTAAATAACGAGCTCCCCAGTAATTAAACCCACCCAGACACACATCCTAACCCAGCTTGGATGGGCAGGGACAGCAGTGGAGTGGGGTGGTCCCAGCTCTGGATTCCCACCCCTTTTCAGGGTCACCCATGTCCATTAGGACACGACCAGTGATGGTTTTGGGGGGGATGGTGGAGATTTTCCTCATCACTTGCACATCACCCACTCATGGAATCCCAGGATAGTCTGGCTTGGAAGGGACCTTAAAGCCCATCTGGTTCCACCCCCTGCCATGGGCAGGGACACCTTCCACCAGCCCAGGGTGCTCCAATCCCACACCCAGGCTGGCTGGGAACTGCTCTACAAACACAGCAACAGCCCAATTTCTTCTTCCTAATCCATTGACCCAACCAGCCTTGGCCACACCTCAAATACAGGGCAGCTCCATCACCCAACATGATGACAGGTAATTTTGGGTGCCCTGATCAAAGAAACCCCCTTGGGCTTGGAGCATGATCCCCCTAAACCTGTTAAAACACACAGCTGGATGATCAGTAAGTGTTTGCCCTTATTTACATCTGTTCAAAGGAAAAAGAAACATCCTCACTAAAACCCACATTTTATGCAGCCAAACCCTCAGTAAGAGATTCAGCACTGCAGAGGCGACTCCAGGGCAGGGAAAAAAACCCCAAAACCACCAGTAAAAGGTAACATTACTGATCAAAGGGGAAAGAGATTGTTTTTGCCTTTCTTTTCAATCAGAGCTCGGTACATCAGGTTGCAACCTCTGCACGAAGCTTCCCGTTAATGGCAACCAGTCTGTAACAACTTGACACAGCGACCCCACTTCTGGGCCCAGGAGGATTGTTAATAATCAGAGCACATCACAAGCCCTCACTCCGGTACAGGAGATCAACACCAGCCCCAGTTAAAGACAACTGGATCCTGAGAAACCAGTGCTCAGGGGGCCAGTTTGCTTTAGAATCCCAAAAAACCGTCACGTGTGTGGAGGTGCCAAACGTGGGAGCCCAAAATTCTGCACTCACCTTGGCTTCTTTGCCCCTCAGGGTTCTCCTGTGGACAGCTGCCAGCAGCACAGAGCACTGGTGTCCTTCCAGCCCTGCTCCAAAAGGGGGAAATGCAAAAATAAAATACAAAAAAAAAAAAATAAAAGACAAAAATAAAATAAAATAATAAAATATGCAGTGCTCACTCTTCCAAGGAGCTCCCATGGGACCTGCTGGGACCTGCAACCACCTTCAGCCAAGAAGGATGTTTCTCACCATCCCAAACTTGCTGGAGTTTTTGGAGCTGTGCAGCCCAGCAGGGACGTGTCCAGGTTAAACAGGCTCTTGCACTTCTCAGGGATGGACAGTAAAGGTGTTGAAAGATGGTAAAAACAACGCTGCTTGTGCTGCCCCGTTCACCCAGCCCAGCCCAGCCCTCGGCCAAGCACGACACAAACATTTTGGATGCTGCTGCTGAAGTTTTTGATGAGGGTTAGTGATGTTCCCTCACTAATCCTCCTTAATGCCATCTTTGAAACTCGGTTTTGATCTCAATGGCAGAAACACCTCCCCACCCTGTTCTGCTGCAAACCAAAGGAGACACCCAGACACCCAGAACTGAAGGGTTTCCTTTGGAAGGGACCAGCTCCAGGGAGGGAATAAAGCTGAGATCTCTGCAGGGATCTCAGGCACTTCACCAAGACTATCCATATGCCCAACCCCTACCAGCTGAAGCCACAATCTTGCTTCAAGGGTCTCTCTCCAAGCTGAGCCCTGCCCAGACATGCCAAAATCCAGGCCAAACCTCCTTCCTCACCCATCTAACTCTGTTAAAAACAGTCAGGGAGCAGCTGCCTGCCAGTGCCAGCGGGGCACCCACCATCCTTTCCATCCACTGACCACCGACCAGGCAGATGAGTCCATGTTAAACCACACACAGTCCCACCCCTCCAGCATTTCCTCCACCCCCAAACCACTCCGAAGCCAGCACTGCCTCCAGGTATTGTATTCAAGAGATGCCTCCAGGTGGTGTGTTAAATAAAGTACTTTATTGGGTCTTCTGCACATCAAGCTCTGTACAAAAACCTCTGCATTAACACCAGGGTGAGCGACGCCTCCGGGAGCTTTGAAGGCTGGCTCAGCTCCCTTCTGAAGAAGCAGAAGTGAAAGTAACGTTAAAAAAACAGCCAGGTTGGCCACACCGAGTTGGGCCCCACCAGCAGAGCAGCCCTGCAGTGTGAGCTGCAGCTCTGAGGATTCAAACCTCCCTCCCAGACCAGCCTGGTTTGCTCTCGTGGCCGAAGGGACGCCCGGGAAAGGCTTCACATCCCTCTGCCTCGGGGTCCCACCTCCCACTTGTGATGCTCCTCCTTCAGTGCCGCTGCAGTTCACCAGGACTAATTAAAAACCTCGTCTCAAGAGCCCTAAGCCAGCAGGGAGGAAACTTTCGTCGTGCCAGGGGCTCATTTGTCGTCGGAGCCGCTCTCGGGCAGCAGAGCCCCGCGGGAGCCCTTGGTGCGCAGGCACAGCCCGCAGTCCAGCTCCACGTCGATGTCCCCGAACCGCAGCTGGCACGACTCGTTGCAGCTGCAGGAGAGACAGTGACGGTGCTCAGGGGGTTGTGGGCAGCAGGAGAAGCCCCTTGGGAGGCCGCTCAGGACCGTCTGCCCCGCGGTGGCACCGAGCTCGTCGCTCCCGGCCAAGCCACCCTGGGACACTCACGGACACCCACTTTTCTCATCCCATGACATGCACCAGTGATGGATTTCCCAGCCTAGCACGGGGTCTAGGGATTGTTCTTGCCCCCCTCCTCAGCTCCTGCACTGCTCCAGGGCCCCCCCAGTCCCCTGTCCCCCACGTACCAGCGGGATGCAGCCGAGTTGGCGCCCACGACGGCGACAGCGCCCAGGCAGTGCCAGCAGAAGCACATGGTGAGGAAGGTCAGGTTGCTGGGATCACTCTGATCCCAGCCTGGTCCTCCCCAGGGAGGGGACAGCACAAACCCAATCTGGTCACAGACAAAAGAGATGTCATTCTCTAGCACATCCCCCCTCTTTTCCTCCTGATTTTAGCCAAGCTGCTGCAGCTGACTATGGGCATGAAAACCCCAGAAACACCTGGAGCACTGCCCTGGGCACCCCCAGGCACCCTTGTCTCTCCAGACTGCCACAGGGGTGGGTTCCAGGAGGAGATGGATTCTCTGCAGGTAATCCTTAGGGCTTGCAGGGCAGCCCAGCATGGCCAGAGAAAGATGACACCCCAAAGGTGACATGGCCAGGCTGAGCATTTCCTCCTAGACCCAAAGGTGGGGGATTACATGAGAGATTTCCAGATGTTTCCAGTTACACGGAACAAGCAGAGGAAGAAAATGGACCTAATGAAATGAAGAAAAGCTCATGATTGTGGTTTCCCTCCCTTATGGGCTCCTATTTCCATTTTCCAGCCATTTCCAGGTCTGTCCACGCTGCCTATATTACACATGCACTTCTCCACAGTGCCAGCTCTGGCACCAAACCTCGTTTCCTCTTCTTATTTACCACGATACCCCAACCAGCCTACAAGTTTACCCCCAACAGATGTGCCCCAGGGGGCAGAGCAGCCCCGCTCCGCTCACCCTCCAGGGTGCAAAGCTCAGAGAACAAGGGGTACACACGGACCTGCCAAAGCCAAGAGCCCTGCAGGAGGAAGGAGCTGGTCCTGAGGGTCTCCAGGATGATGTGGTCTCGCAGGAACACCTCCAGGAGGGCACAGAGGGCTCCAGCAAGGATGGCCATGGCCAGCAGGGAGTGGAGGTGGCGATCCAGCGCGGCATCGCCGTAGTCACGGAAACAGAAGAGCAAACCTGCCAAGATCCACAACAGCGTGTTAGCAAGGACACCCTGGGGGTTGTTCTTTAAAAAAAAACACCTGAAAACAGACAATGCTCTAGATTTTGCCACGATCTGCCTGGTGGGAAGAGCCAGACATCAGCCAGGCTGCTGTCACCACCTTCACCCTGCACACACCACTCAACCCCAGCACCCGGGTCTGTTCTGCCCACCGAGGAGCCCCCATTCCTGCAGAGACCCCCCTGCCCCAGCCAGGGCTGTAGGGCTGCACATCCCTCGATCATCCCCTGTACCCCTGGGCCACCCAGCTGGCTGGAATCCTTCCTGTGGCTGGGTTCACATTTGGGGAGGAGCAGGGAGGGGGTGACTTGATCACACAGGCAGTGCCATCACACCTGCACAAACCCTCCAGCTCTGCCTGCACGGGGCCTTGCTGGTCCCAGAACAGCCCAGGAGCTGTCACACATCTGTCACACATCTGTCACACACCCCCTGGTGCTCCCCTGCCCCGTGCCCTGCCCTGCCCAGGCACCAGGACTGGCTCACCTTCGATGAGCAGAGCCAGGGACAGCGAGAGCCGGTCCAGGCCGGGTGGCAGCTTCAGCCTGGACTGCGAGACCATGTCCATGATTCCAGAGAGCAGGAAGAACAGGTAGATGGTGGAGTAGTGCCAGTGGGTGAGGTCTGTCCAGCTGTGTGTCTCGGGGCTGTACAGCTTCAGGTGGGGACCGGTGGGGACAAACTGCTCCACCAAAATCCCTGGGTAGAGGGGGGAAAGGTCAGCCCTGTCCTCTCACCCAGGGAAAGGACGAGGCTGCAGGAGAACTTCCCATGCAGGGCTGAAGCCACAGTGGTGTTTGCCCAGAGGAGAACATCCCAGTGTGCCATCAGCACATCCCCAAGCCCTCCCACAGCAGCTGCAGGTGTTTCCCATTATGAACAGCCCCAGCCTTATGGGACAAAGCAGCTGCAGCATCATTAGATATCGGGGCAGAAACTCATCATCATCATCATCATCATCATCATCATCTCTTACCTACTAGAGCAAAGAGAGCTTTGACAGCCCCCTCGAAGATCTCTGCACGCTGGGTCCCGGAGCTTGGCTGGCCCTCAGCATCCCCTTTCCTCCTCAGGTACTTCAGGGGGTACCTCACGGACCACCAGAGCCCAAAGATGAGGAAGAAAGTGCCCCTCAGGGCACTCCCGACGAAACTCGTGGGCATCGGGCTGGGTGTGTGGGCGGGACCTGCAGGGACAAACAGAGCCTGGGGGCTGACCCAAGGGATGTGCTGGGCTGATCCCTCGCTCAGCATCCCCAGGGATCCACAGCCCAGCAGAGAGGGTGCCCATGGCTCTGCCAGCAGCTGTGAACAGGTAATCCCAGGGGTGGGACATGGCTGTGGACACGTGTGTGTGAATGTGTGGCTGCACACACGGCCATCAGGGCTCGGTGCTACAGAACAACCTGTAAAATAACACCCAAGGAAACACAGCAAAGTTTTTCCTAATAAAAAGCAACACGACTATTATTTCCTCAGACCATAAACTCCCTCCAAACCAGGCAATTACCAGGGTGTGAATCCAGCCCTGGATTCGGGAGCTCCAGCCAGCCAAGGCTTTGGCAGGAGGAAGCAACCCAGGAACCATTAGCATTTCCAAAAGGAGCCTCATGCATATTCCACACAACCTTTTGTTTGACACAAGGGAAGAGATTTCATCTCCAGAGGAAGAGATCCAAGACTGAAAGCCTTGACACTGAGTGGGATCGATGCCACCGAGCACCAGGGAGGATGGAGAGGAGCAAAGGTACAGCAAATTTATATCCTGCACAGTATTTAAGCCCACACCCAAATTCCTGAAAAAAAAAAACCAAATCCCAGTGCAGCAAGGGCAGAGGGAATAAATAATGATCTTAGAGCAGTAAGCCTTTGGTATTACCTTGGGATGGTCTTGTCCCTTCCAGCAGCACCTCTCTCCTTGCTCCCTGTAAGCTTCTACCACCTAAGGAGGATTCCCTTTTCCCCTCCACGTGGTTTTCCGGTCCTTTTCTACCGCTGGGACGTGCATTACTCACCCCAAAGCTCCCACACCGACCTGCCCTCACCTCACAAATCACATCCTCAGCCGTGTTTATAAATACCAGAGCAAATTGCAAGGGCTGGATGAACAACTCCAGCACGTTCTCCGAGTCCTCCCACACTGGAAAGTAATGAGGCACTGCAAAAGGAGGGGAGGATGTGGCAAGTGCCCGGGGGGAAGGAGAGCTCTGCAGGATGTCCCTGGTCGGGTTTTGGCTGCAGAGCCCGAGTTGGTTGGAGTGGCTCGGCCCTGAGCGGCACCCACGGGGTTGGATGTGGAAATCATCATCACCCACTGCATCTGCGGGACACAGACAGCCCAGGGAAGGCTCTAAGCTGTGTTAGGGTTTCCTCTCAGGAGGGAAGTTACCAAACAACCTTTCAGGGAGGTGAGAAACGCCCCGTCCAGGAGCTGCTTTGAGGAGCAGGGATGCTCCCTGCTCTATTTTGGGTGCCTGCATTAGGGTGAGGTGGCTCATGCCCCAGGAGAAGCCAGGTCTTTCCTGATTATAGCCTGGACACCCAGTCCAGGGCACTTATCTCCCCTGCACAGACATCTGCATGCCAGAGTGACTAACAATAAATGGGATTAAAGCCCGTTTAGGCTGCACACAATTGCACGATAGAGAACCAAATTTTGCCATTGTCCTACTTGTGACTGCCAGGGCAACAGCCTGGAGCTGGAGTCAGGAGGTTACCCTGCTCCAGAGACATGTCAGGAACGTTAATGTGACGTGATTACCTGGAGGAGAGAAGAGCAGAGACCTCCCAGAGCCCAGAAATTACAAACAACGTGTCCCCCCTGCAGCTCCAGGGGTTGCTCCAAAGTCACACCAGCATCCAGCATTAACCCAGGGATTCATCAGCCCACACCCACCGACCATCCCCCCTTCACCTGAGTGACCAGCAGACCCAACCCACCGTTTCAGAGCCTTCCCTGGGATCTCCTGCCCTGACCAACCCTCTCCCCAGCAGAGCAGCCTCACTCTGCAGGGCCAGGGACCCTTTTGCTCTGAAACCTCCCAGCAGCTCAATCCAGCAAGGCTTTGGTAGCTGCTGTGAGTCTCCTTTGCCTCTGCAAACAGCACTTCAGGAGCCACCACACACCACAGAGTCACTCAATGGTTTGGGTTGGAAGGGATCTTAAAGCTCACATCATCCCACCCCTGCCACGGGCAGGGACATCTTCCACTAGCCCAGGTTGCTCCAAGTCCCGTCCAACACGGCCTTGGACACTTCCAGGGATCCTGGCATGTCCTGGGGCATCTCTCCCTTAACAGGGATGTCCCAAACCCACCCTCAGTCAAGCAGCAGTGTGCGTGTAACCCACTCAAACCCCCCCCACACACACCTTCCTTTATAAAACAACCACTGCTTTGCAGGGACACCAGACATGTTCCCAAGCAACAGTCCATTTGCACAGCTCACATCCTTGAAGCACAGGGAACATCCCCAGAGCCCCTCAAGCAGCCCCCTGAGGCCAGCCCTGACCCCCCTCACCCCAGCCCAGGCTCACACACAGGCTGATTGAGCTCTGAGTGAGCAGAACCAGGGAAGAGCAGAGACACGGGGTTATTTATTCCTCCTGTGAGCTGGTTTGGCTGTCACAGTCCCTGAAATAGGGCTGCAGTCAGAAGTTATTACCTGAGCTGCCCTTCTCCCCCCCCGCTGCTCCCGGGCTCTGCTGCTCTGCTTTAATGTCCATATGGGAGCTGCCTGCTCTGCTTAGGAAGCCTCTCCTGACTGCTCCCAGCCTGCCCAGGTTCAGCTCAGGAGACACAGCATTCCTGCCCAACTTCCAGGCTCTCCCCTGGAGCCACTGCAGCTCCAGATCCATCACCATCCACGACTTTGACCCCACTTGCTCTGGCTGATGTGGGGGGATCCATCCCTGTGGATTCACAAGCATTCCCTACAAGCACCCCTGGGTGCAACCATCAGCATCCCAGACAGCCAGCTTGTAGGCAGAGGGCAAGCCCAGCACCTGGCCATGGATGTTTCCTTATGTGGATCCTCCTCCATCCTTGGACACTTCCAGGGATCCAGGGGCAGCCACAGCTTCTCTGGGCAACCTGTGCCAGGGCCTGCCCACCCTCCCAGGGAAAAATTCCTTCCCAATATCCCATCTAGCCCTGCCCTCTGGCAGTGGGAAGCCATTCCCTGGGTCTTGTACCTTCAGATCCTTTTCCAAAGTCCCTCTCCAGCTCTTCTGGAGCCCCTTCAGGCACTGGAAGGGGTTCTAAACTCTCCCCAGAGCCTTCTCTTCTTCTCCAGGCTGAACAACCCCCCTCCCCTGCCAGGATGCACCTCCAAAACACAATAAGCCCCTAAAAAGGAGATAAACCCATATATTTCTGGCAGACTGCCTCCATCAGCACCACTTCCACCACTGTCATCATCCCTGAGAGATGGACTCTCCACACCTCCCTTCTTCCCAGGCTCCAGCAGCCACAGCCATCCCATGGCACTCACTGGGGTATGGGTGGAAGAATTTACCTGGGACTCCTGCCTGTCCTCCTCCCTCTCCAGAGGTGTCAGCAAGGAGGTTATTACTGGGAAGAGGCAGATAAAGGGAGAAGCCAGCACGGGGAGGTGGCTCTGAGACAGGATGTTTGGAGCTGAACATCCTGCAGGCCAGTTCAAAGCACGCTGAGTCAACCCCCTTTCCCAACCTGGGACACCTCCTGGCTGCTCTTAAAAAAAAAAAAAAAAACAAAAAAAACCAACCAGCAACTCTCCTGCCGTTTGCCCCAGAAATCAGGAGGAGCAGCCAATTCCTGTTGCCATGGCAACCGTGTATATTCAGTTGTTATGATGGGTTTGGGATGACTGGGAAAAGAGCCAAGAGAAGATAAAGCTGCAGCGTGGTCTGACGGGGCCAGGCCCTGCTGGAAGTCTCTGAACTGGCTTGCCAGGGACATGATAACCCTTTTAGGGGGTCCAACCATATCAAAGTTGCCTGAGGGCAGGAGATTTTCAACCAGGAGCTCCCAAACCTTTGTGAGCTCCACTTCCCAGCCTGCAGCAGCCAAGAAGAAGGGGACGACGGCTCTCTCTGCCCCCCCAGAACACAGCAACCTGTTTTACTCCTTTTTACCTCTCTAAAACTCAACACTGCCTCACACCAAGCACCCCCAGACACAAACCACCCCTGACCTGCCCATCCCCCTGCCAAGGGCTGCCCAGAGGAGCAGAGCAAGTGTCTCAAGGCAAATAAACCCCACGGGCCACCCCAGTGCCCCCATCTCCCTCCACAGCACTGAGCTCAGGGTGCAGGAACACTCAGCATTGCTCTGGAGCCACCAAAACCCACTCCCAGCAACATTCCCAACCCGGGATTTCTCCTGTGGAGCTGTGTGAGCGTTTCTCTTCCCATAAAACCAACCCAAACCCACCCCCAGCACACCCACAGGACGAGTCGTGCTGGAGCAGCACAGAAGCAAAGCAGCTGCACAGCCCTCCCCAGGGTGATGGGCTGTGCTCCAGCACAGCCAGAAAAGCCACCAAAGCCATAGCCAGGAGCTTTGATTCCCATTATCTCCATATCAAGTGGGAGGAAGGAAGGAAGGGAAAGCAAGAGGCTGGTGGTGGTGCTGGCACACAACCTCACCATACACCCGTCACTGCTTGTCTCCAGCGGTGCCTGAGGAGCAGGGGGTGTGATTGAGGGATGAACACACCTGAAAGAAGGGTCCTGGGCCAGCAGGGAAGCCCAGAGCAGCAAAGTTTTACCCAAATTTAAGCTCCAGGACCCTGTTATAACATTAAATCCAAGCATGGGGTGAAATACGACCCTCACAGGAACTCCTCCTTACAGACCTACCCCTGAAAATAACACACAAAGAGAGACATAGCTTTTTGTTGGAAAACAAACAAACAAACAAACAAACAAACAACAACAGGAGGACCATCAGGGACCTCTTTCAGCTCAGTTTTCCCTTCTGCAAGCACCTATCTCTACAAACCACCACCCCAAAGGGCAGTTAGCACAAAGCCCTTTCCCAGGCAACAGGAGTCAAATCCTTGGGGAAAGTGGGGAGAGGTAAGCAGGGAGGGCAGCAGCTGGAGATGGGAGGGGAGGAAACAAGGCCCAGCTGAAAAGTATCTGCTCAGAGGATCAGTGTGCCCTTTTCCATGGAATTTGAGGGGCCAGCAAAGAGTAAAGCTCATAGAGAAAGTTTCTGTGCAAAGGCAAACCTGGAATTACAGGCAGTGAAAGAAGTTTTTGGTGCATTAAACGGTTGAGGAAAGGGGGTTCCTACCCTTTGACCATCCCCACGAGAAAAATGAGAGTGAAACTGTGAGAAGTGGTTGTGAACAGCCCTGTGAGGAGACACCTGGAGAAAGGATGGCAATCCCCCCCCCAAATCCCAGAGTCATTCACACACACCATGTGAGCCAAAATCACTGTGGGCACAAACAGATGCAATTCCAGCACATGCCTGTCCTCCTCTTCCTCCCAGGGAGAGACTGGGGGAGGCAGATCTGTGTCCCACACCCTCCAGCTTCTCTGATGTCCTCGAGCTACAACCTGAACCGAATTTTTTTGAATTCATATTTTTGTTTCCCCCTTTTCCTCCTTCTCTCTCAGCTGTGACTGCAACATCCTCTCCCCGAAGGTTCATCACCGGCCTCGGTGCTAATGAAAAATGTGATAATGTTTGCCTCCTTCCCGGGGGTGGAGGGAGGCACAATCTAATTAAAGGTTTGCCAGCAGATGGATGGTTGTTCGGGAAGTGCGAAGGATTATTATTATTATTATTATTGTTATTATGACGAATGCTACCACCAGATTTCATAAACAGGCAGCAGGGGAGGTGAGGCAGGTGGTAAAAGCACAGGCAGGGCTTGTTGTGCTGCCCACACCTTGCTCTCAGCCCCACATTAGCGTGGTGAGCAGGGAGATCCCATCTCTGCCCCAGGAATGAGTGGCTCGTGGATGGGCTGTGCTGGGCTCCTGATGAAGGGTTTGCCTTCCCAGCGGCAGGAAGAGCCAAGTGCCGGGAAATTTGGCTGCTCTGGGGGGTGTTGTCTGTGCTCCTTTTGTAAGGGAAGGGCAGGACTGGTGGGAGGATCAGCAGCTCCTTCCGGCCGTGGATGAGCAGCTCACTCGAGTGACAAAATCCAACATCGGTTACACAAGAGAGAAAACACCCCCGGGACAGCCCTCAGGACATCCTGCTCCTTGTTCAATCAGCTGGCTCTGGATACAAATCCATCCCCCCAATGGGTCCAGTACAAACACACCATAATTCAATTCATAGAATCATAGAATTATTTAGGTTGGGAAAAAAAACTCCATCACCGAGTCCTACCTTCGAGTCCTGCTGAAAAAAAACCGCAACTGGTTGATACTAAAGTTGTGCTAAAAGCAATTCTCCCTGTAGGACTGCCTTAAAATATCTATAGGAAATAAATGCCAGGATGGCTTATGGTTGCACCTCTCTGTATAATAAACCATCTCCAGACCATTCACTCAGACACCTTCATGCCTTTGGGGACCTAAACTATTTACAAACATGTTTTTTAGCTGAACTGAAAATCCTTAATTCTCACCCAGAAAGGAACTCCAGTTGTAGTTTCCTCCCTTAATCACAGGATCTCTCCTCATTCACTGACCTTCATACCTCGGGAAAGAATGTGCTCCAGAGCTGGAAAACAAATTAGTGAGTGCTCTGCTGACAGTCCTGGGATGTTTGTAAGGAGCAGGGAGTTAATGAGGCAGACAGAAACTATTCCAGACAGCGGGTGCTGCAGAGGGAAAAGGTGTTTTGTGGCCACACAGTGACAAGGGCCAAGGATTGAGAGCGGCAAGGAGAGCCGTGAAGAATCAGATTAACCCTCTCCCACCTCCAAAAGCAAGGAGTGCTATCAAAAAACCAAAGCCAGCTTTCATCTGTGTGCCTTGGGATGGAAGAAAAAAAAAAAATCTCTGGCTTTTGGAGGTGGGTGGCTGCGAGGTGACTGCAGCCAGCCTGGAGTGTGCTCCTGGTGCCACCTGCTCCTGCCCTCCCCTGGCTGTTCCATGGGAATAGCGATGCTTGGGCTGGTTCCTGAGAGAAAATAATTCAGAGCAGGGCAGAAATAATTCAGAGAATCACACGAGGCCTTTTTGCTGGCCTGCAGCAACTCGGTTTGTCACCTTCCACCTGCCAGTAGGAGGTGGCACCTGCAAAATGGGTTGTGTGTCTCATGGCAGCAGCAGGAGGAGTTCTTGAGGTTTAGGGAAGCTGTTCTGCTCTGGCAGAAAAAGGAACATCTGCAAAATGCTCCTCGTGTTCAGCAGTTACAGCTGAGATTTTAGTGTGGTGTTTATCAGGTGGGTTGAGGGAGATGCTTCACTCTCCTCACTCCCAGCCTGCACCTCCCATAATCCAGCCCTGCACAATAAACTGGCCCAGCAGTGGGAATGCAGGAAATCTGGCACTCCAGGAAAGCTGCTCAGTCTGCAGAGCACTGTGAATAGCACTAAAATCCAGGCTCTGGAGTCTGCAACAGGCTCTTTCTGCACGTGGGGAAAGGGGGTTAAAAGATGCCTTCCCTTGGACTCGCCAGGAGCTGCTTTTCTGTGCAGCACAAAAATCAGCTGCCATCCATCCCCCTCATTTCACAGCAGGGAGGAAACCTCAGTGCAGAGCATCCTTCCTGCCCCAGGCACTGAGATACAAACAGCTGCAACTCACCTTGTGCTATAAACATAAATATATATATATTTATTAATATATTTATTGTATTTGCTGGTTTTAATCCCCATACCCGCTACGGGCGTATTTTCCTCCTGAATAGGAGGTGACATTTCCAGTCACTTTTTTTTGCAAGAAATTAGCTGGCAAAGGCAGCCTAAAAACAAACCCTGGGCCTGTTTCATCTCCTTTCCAGGCTGAGGGGGTTTACTTTCAATGGAAAACTGGGACGTTCCATGGCTCCCTGCTGCTTCACCGTGTGTGTTACAAACAGCGTTACAGTCCTCCAGGCTTTGCAGGTCTGAGGGATGGATTTGTCTAAGCTACTATTACACACTCTATAATTTATCAGTCTCAAATTTAAGGATATCAGCTCAGTGAGGATTTTTTATTTCCCGTTTATTCACTCTCTCAGCCTTTAAGTGATCACGAAAGCGATTAACAAAACCCCTCTTGAGTTCAAAGCTTCGGTGATAACATTCGTATCGTGTACAATCAAGCCCTGCTGGTGCAAAAACTGCCAAAATCTTGCATTCCACACTCTTTTCCTCGTCCTCCTCAGGGTGGTGCTTTGCTCCAGAGGCACCTGACCTCAGCCTGGAGCTTTCCTTGGCTTCAATCACAGCAGGTCAAAGCCTCCAGGCTCTTGGAAAAAGTCAGCTGGCCAAAGGATGCCCTCCATCCCTATGGAAACACACCTGGCAACCCGTGGGATGAAGCAGTCTTGTCATGTCGAATTTCCATGTCTCATTTTTGCTGTTGAAAATCACATAAAATGGTGCTTGGCCCCCAGCCAGCAATACCTGGGTACAGATGGAGGGCTCCTGCCCCCAGGGGCTCAACCTGCTGCCCCCACATCACAACAGTGGCTCCTCTCACTCCTCCAAAACACAGATATTTCATTAGGATTTTTTTTTTTCTTCCAGAAAACAGGTTGTCCATGTATTTAGAGAAGAATTTGCAGCCTCTTCACTCCTCATCGGAGCCGCTCAGGAAGGTGGTCTGGGAGTTGGGGTCACCCTTCTGCTGCCGGACCCCCAGGCTGATGTAGGGCTCTCCACTGCATCTCCTGAACCTCTGGAGGCACCTGTAGCACAGGAGCAAGAAATCACCGATGGCAAAACCCCCAGACTGATGCCACTCACCAGAATTCTCTCAACTAGAGGTCCTGAAATGCTGTTGATGGGGGACTGAGGGGTTTTTATTCTGTATAAAGTCTATTTGCTGCCTTAAACTGGACTATCCCTTCCGTAGCCCACACAGCATCCCTTAAAGTGGGACAGTGTCCTCTTCCCATCCCCTCAGAAGAGCCAGGCTGGGGGCTGGCACTGCTCAACCATCAGACAGTGCTCTTGTTCCTCCGCTGACTCAGGGACCTCCAACCACTCCAGAGTCCTTGCAAGGGAGGGGACAAAGTGTCAGGGGGACGTGGAAACGTTTGAGTTTCTCTATTGAATTACAGTTTGACTCCAGCACTCAGTGCAGAAGGGAAAAATGGAGTATGATTTACAGGAGCAGCTCTGGGGGCTCCATTATTTGACTTCTCCCCGTTTAATGCCCGTGCCTCCCACTGACACTGTTTTGCATTCTGTGCACTCACCAAACACCCTGTGTGCTTTGTCACCCTGCCCTCAGACCTGCTGGAGTCTGGGGCTGCTTATTCAGCTGTGACTTTGTCCTCTGGGAAGGGCTGGAGTACATCTGTGTCCCATCCCCACCCCTGCCCACCCCAGTTCTTGCCCAGCCATACCAGCAAGTGAGGGTGTAGTTGATAGCCAGGATGGCCACAGCAGCTGCCCAGTGCCAGAAGAAGCACATGGTGAGGAACATGATGTTGTTATGGTCCTCTTCATCCCACATTGGACCCCCCCAGGGCTGGAAGAGCACGACTCCAATCTGGGTGGAACGAGAAATTTATTAACTTGGGGGGGAAAAATCGTTAGAGAATCCCAGACTGGTTTGGGGTGGAAGGGACCTTAGACATCATCTCATTCCACCCCTGCCATGGGCAGGGACAACCTTACCCACCCTCCCAGTGATTCACCTCAATCCCTGTGGTGGCTGAGGGACTGAGACAGTGAAGCCCAGCCCTGAGTGAGAGGCCACACAAAGCCAGACTGTGCCCCAAATCTCTCTTCTTCTGTACCATATCCAGACACAACCGTCCCTGGGCACTGCAAACTCTGAGCCACCCTTTAAAACCCCCAAATTTAGTATTTTACAAATTCAGCCCAGTTCTTAACCTCTGAATAAAGGCTGGTTTGAGTTAGCTGGGGCTGAGAGAGAGGAGAGGAAACTCAGATTATTTTCAGCAGCTTCGTTTTGGGAGCGATTACCTCCAATTGATTTCTTTGCTGCTCCAGCTTCTCCCAAAGCAAGCAGCTGGCTGGATCTTAACTCAGCCATTTTATTGCTGGGGGGGGATGTTGCCTTTTCCCACTAAACCAGGGGGAGGGCTGCAGGGTGCATTAGACACATTAAGCAATTAGTACTTGGTTGTTAGATACTGTTGTTGCTCGCTGGCTTTCGCTCTTCCCCCCAGAGAAGCAATAAGCCAAGACTAACAGCTACTCCAGCAGAGATGACCTGTGAGAAGTAAACCCTCGGTCTGGGTTATGAGCTATTTATGAAGCCAGCCTGGCAAAATGATCCTTCAGAGACGTGTGATTGGGGTGTGATGTACAGCTCCCTCTCCTCTGTCCCCA